CTTTTGTCCAAGACTTCGTTGTGACTTTTGATGTGAAGAATGGTTACTACCACGTGCCGGTTCACCAGGAATCTCGCCCTTTCCCAGCCTTTTCCTGGAAAGGCTCAACTTATCAATTCAACACCCTATGTTTTGGAATCTCTTTGGCCTGTTGGACATTCACATCCATAATGCAGGAGGTTATGACGGTAATTAGATCAAGGGGAGTCCACATTTTCTCATATATTGATGACAGTCTCTCCACTCACAAGAAACTTCCTGTCTGTTTGTGGAATTCTTTCCTGATTACCGTAATTTTCAATGAACTGGTTTTTTTCCTTAGCCGGAAGAAATGCAATGTGTTTCCTTCTCAAACCAACCGCTTCTTAGGTTTTATTTTAGATTCTCATCAGAAAGGGATTAGGGTACCCCGGGACAAAGCATAGAAGATTATCAATCTGCTAAAGTCTGCAGAGGATGAATCTCATCTGTCAACCAGAAAGGTGGCCTCATTAGCAATCAAGTTAGTCTCTTTATCCAAGGCCTTCCTACCAGCATCCTTGCACTGTTCCCACCTTCATGCAGCACTAACCAACTGCGATTGGAATGGTAAAATTGAACTTTCAAATCAGTTCAAAGACGATCTCAGGTGGTGGCTGGAGCACCTCCCCACGATCCTGGGGAGACTTTGGACAGTCAGGGCCGCTACGGTCAGCATGCAGACAGACGCATCAGCCTCTGTGGTAGGAGCGATAATCTCTTTTCAGGATGATGTTCCATGGAAGATCAGCTTCCCACTGCCCTTAAGCCTGCTAAATTCATCAAACACTCATCGAGAGCTTTTTGCAGTAACTTCCACCTTGTCACTATTGGCGGATAGGACACCAGAGAAACTTCAATCCCAGGCTGTTAAGATTATAGGTGATAACCAAACAGTTTCTTACCTACTGAAGAAATAAAGCTCATCAGATGATCTTTTTAACTCATTTCTTAGAGAGATCGCCTCAATACTACTGACGCTGGACTGCCAACTACAACCTACGTGGGTCCCAAGAGAACTCAATACAGCAGCAGACGAACTTTAAGGTTGTAGATTACTCGGACTGGGGCCTGAGCAGGACAATAGTGGAAGAACTGTTTGATAGGTTTGGTCAACCTGCAATTGACCTTTTCGCCTCGGAAGAAAACTTCGTTTGCATCCCGTTTGTCTCTGAGTTCCTATCTCCAAACTGTGAAGCAACGAATGCGTTATCTTTGGACTGGAATACACTACCGTCCTCTCCCTACAAGTGAATTTTTCCCCCAACTTGCTTTCTCCACCTAGTTCTGGCGAAAATGAAATTCTTCGGAGGAGAATATCTACTCATTACACCAAGCTCTTCTAGAGCTAGTTGGTTCTCGGCCCTTAGAGCATCAATCGTGCTGAACCTGGAAAAGGAATTCAGTACTTGCTTCCCCACTTCAAGAATCCCACATGGTTCTTTCAATCCCGGAAAGACATGCCTCAAGGTCAGCAGGATCTCTATCTAACCATCCATGTTAGATATTCAATGGCATCCGTACCCGTACCGAATGAAGGAGGAGAAGTGTTTCCAGGTACCTTGACACAACATTTTCTCCAGACTCCATCCAGCCTGAATTCCAGCTCGAACCCCACCAACCCGAAAACTATAACTGCTCTCGCCCTCATATATTCCATTGGCCCTTAACCTCTCCTTCAAACACTTGTTAAAGCTGCTAAGACTCAAAATCCCTTTGGTACGAGTACTCCGGAAGAGGGGACCTCCGTCACGAAGATCGATAGGGGGCACCAGCCGACTATAGCACTTGTGCATTTCTTCAACCACCTCTAGGAAGCAGGTCCCATGCCCTAGAGACTCTTGAAGTCGGATCACCCCGCTCTCCCTTTTCTCAGAGTTTTGGTATAACCTGGCTGAACACGTACGGTTTCTACATGCAACTCCTTCCCCCTAAGTCGCAAACCTTCTCCACCCCTTTCCAACTTTCCCACAAGTAGGTCATGATGCAAAGATCACGTAATTGTTCAGCATATCGATAACCACTTTTTGGCTTCATACTTTCGCGCATGCTCTGACTCAGAATCTGCATTTTCTTAGCGGTCATTGCAGGAGCCTGGTTCTCGCGAACTCCCATTTTTAGAGCATAATTTCGATAAGCCCGGCGGTAGTCTCGTACCTTACTACTGTTACAAGGATTTTGTAGCCCTTCTCGACCTAGTATAAGAAAGCATTTATTCAAGCAACTCAAGCAAGACTCAATTGTGCTACAGGAGGGGAACGGTTGACCATTACAATCAAGGGTGCGACTTCGTAATTTTAGCTCGGGAATCCATTGGCTTTGAAGGAAGGATATCACATCTAGATCCAAACAGTTACTGATGTCCCGACCCACTCAGTTCCTAGTCAACCACTCGCCCAAGGATTGCATCATTCTTCTTCTCTCTCGCTCTCCGTTTTTTGGCAAGCCATGCTGAGCAATTAACTCCACGGAATCAATCAGACCCTCAATATATTCTCCTTCAATTCCTCCGGACTTCTGAGATAGGTCAGCTTCTTGATGACCATTGAGTAATCGACTCAACCACCATTTCCTGCACACAGATCAGATTTCATCTGATTAGGTGAATGTAGGTGGGGAACTTGGCATGGGTTAGGAGGTGCATGGGGGAGACCCCAGTACTCTCCATTTTCTGGGAAGGTACTTCAGTTGTTTGCAATGCATTGGTCAGTACCCCTCTGAACTTAGTGTTCTCTTATTTTGTCAGTGCATTATTTGCCTTATTATCTGTTGTCAGTAATGGTTTTTCCCCCTTGCAGACAATGATGTTTTCTGTGTTGAATTGGAACCCCTTCTTCTACCCTTATAGGATCTCTGACTAAAAAACAGGCCGCACGAACACACATAGAAGGCCTACTCCTACCCACACCATTCGTTGTCGTTTCTTAGACAGCTTAACCCCCGCCGTATTAAGGGCGGACCCTTGTCAGATTGGCAGAAGGATTGACTGCGGCGGCTTACCCTGGAGAAGAGGTCAAATCCATGTTGAGGGTGACACGCCTTCTTGCATCTGGAACTGGAAGCAATCACGGTTCATTGGTTTCTGCAGCAAAAATATGACAGGCCGGTAATCCGACCTCTGAAGAAACCGCTGACTCTTGAAGAGTTACCGGGCCTATGGTAGCCCCTTGCTCTGCAGCGGTGCTTTGAAATTGGACCCCGCATAGGGGAGGCCGATATAGGGCCGTATCCAACTCGCAGGGACCGCGCTGAAATCTGGCGCGAGACACAGGCACTTCTGGGCAACTTGGAGGATTTACTATTTCTAGGTTGTCTGCCCAGAACGAAAGTGCCCTTTTGTCTTTTGCCTGCTCTTCGTTTGCGACTGCGGCGCTGCTCCGTTCTCCGTACCTGCAACGCGCCACTGGATTACATTCATCAACGGTTCGCGGCTCCCCGCGCGAAAATCCAGGCCCGCCCGCCCGTGCCCTCGGTGCATGGGGGAGACCCCAGGACTCTCCATTTTCTGGGAAGGTACTTCAGTTGTTTGCAATGCATTGGTCAGTACCCCTCTAAACTTATTGTTCTCTTGTTTTGTCAGTCCATTATTTGCCTTATTATCTGTTGTCAGTAATGGTTTTCCCCCCTTGCAGATAATGATGTTTTCTGTGTTGAATTGGAACCCCTTCTTCTACCCCTACAGGATCTCTGACTAAAAAACAGGCCGCACAAACACACCTACTGTTCAAGACATGTTTCATTTCTCCGAGTTAGGTTATAAAAAATAAGGAGAAAAGCTGTTTCTGGTGTTTTTTTCAGTTTTTTAATTTCTTGTTTCAAATTTATTAATGTCGAAATGGCTTCACACCGTTAATTTTTCTGAACTCAACAACGGTAGGTGGGACCAGACCACTGGAGGTGACCGCAAATGCCCTATTTCATTTTCGTATTTTCTTCAAAAATTAGCAAAATTTTGTTCACAAAAGTTCTTGTACAATTTGTGGATGGTACCAGTGCCGGTCCCGTGAACATGACTGGCCGGTCACCAGGGCCAAAATCCGTGAACGGCCGCTCACGGGTTTTCCTCCCACGTGGACGGCAGTACGGTCGGGATCGGGGCTGGAGGGGGTGGGTGCGGGGGCCTTCCACACCCCCGTGCCTTCAAAT